TCCTTCCTTCCTTCCTTCCTTCCTTCCTTCCTTCCTTCCTTCCTTCCATTCACCATATGTTTCTCTGTGCATGCATCTCTACACATCCTGTCCATCTGTCCATAATCCATTGATTCATTCATCCACTATTCGCTTGTTCATAGCCTGTCTGGCACTGTTGATTTTTCTGCAGTTCACACATATGCCCTCATCAACACAAAAGTCATGTGTGAGAGATATGAATTAAGCTAGACTTTGCCAATATTTCCTCTTGGATGGAGAGCTACTGTTGGGCCACTCACTTTCCATCTCCATGGTGTTCTAAGCCTGAAAAGTACCTCTATGGAAATTTATGTCCTGGAATGAGGGGGCATCAGTGAGTATTCAACTTTGAATATACACAGGCTTCTTTTGTCCTATGTCTTCCTCTGGCTGCCTTCCGAAGGCAGTGGCAACCAGACTCAACCACACCTCTATATTTCTCAGCAGACCCAGTAAGTCAAATACCATTAGGGCTTGGGTCTCTTTAAATCGAGAACATTCAAAGGTCCTTTGAGGCCATGTTTCCAAGCCTTTTATCTTAAATGTAGAGAAGCCGAAGTCCAGTAATGAGGGAGGTAATTGAGACTCATCTCCTGACTGTGCTTAGCCTGGTTTGGAAGAAATTAATGAACTAAAGGGTCTACACAGATTATAAATTGTAGTGAAGGAAATTACTGGAAGCCATGACATCTACACCAGAGGCAGGACAGCTATGGCTTCTAGAAGAGCTGCCCTAGGGAAGGGTGCTTGAAGCCTGACTGTCTGGGTGGATTAGAGGCAAAGAGGCAAAGGAAGCTTGGTGGTGGGTGACAGGAACCTTCCAGGGAAAGGGGTCCAAAGGTTGTGATGCCCACGGCACTGAAGGGACTTGCTTCACCAGACTGCTGGTATAAGAATGTTTAGATTTTCAGAATGACAAGTCAGACATCTCTTTTCTTAGTAACCTCTGGTCCACTCACACCTACTTCATCTCTTCTGAAACAGGCTGGCATCAATTGCATTACTCACACAAAGCAGGATGGCTATTATCTGAGCTGCCACCACCTTGGAACACTGTGGATTCATGTGAATGGAACAAAATGAAACTTAAAGAAAGAGCTTAGATGAATCTATGCTTGCTGTTAAACTTAGGCATTTCCCCCAAACTTACACAAGACAAATGATTGTTTAGCATTGAACAACAATACATTACTATAGTTGGGGCATGGGGGTAACAAGGTCTCATGGGATAAGTGGTATTTAGAAATGTATGGAAGGAAGTCTTTTGCTCTGGGTTAGATACATAGGACGTTCTGGAATTGTGATACTGAGCTGAATAAAGTGACACAGGTCTTAGGGAACATGCCATTGCTCTCTACTTGGTCAGATTCACTCCTGTTCCTGCATGTCTAGGATACTCACATGCTCTTCCTACTCAGCCTGGCTGCTCACTTTAGGGCCAGTAAATAGTAAGAAAGATCCTCTTTGTTGAAAACTGCCTTTCTCAGAGATGGACTGGAGTGGGACTCTCTGCATCCAGAGCCACCGTGCCAGAGAAGGTGATGGGATGTGTGTGTGCTTATTTCTTTCATTTCTAGCTCATGTCTATCTCCTTCACAGTCTCTTTGCCTTTTTAAAAAAGAACCACAGACTGTTAGAGCAGGAAGAAGCCTTAGAAATGATGTGATGTGACCTTTTCATTCTCCAAATGGGAAAGTAATTCCAGGAGAATTGTGTGTGGCTTGCCTAAAGGCGTACGTCAGCAGAGGACCAGCCAAGGACCCGAGAGGCTAAATAAGCCTCTAACAGTTTACTGCACGAACTGCTTCCTTAAGTGAATCCAAAACTGCCGTTGTGAGGACTCACACCTATGAGTTTGGGTACAGCATACAGCTGGGAGTACACAGAGTCACGCCTACATTTCTCAAAACAAACAAACAAACAACCTCCAGATTCTCTCAAGTAATTTAGAAGCAGAAAAAATGAAAAAAAAAAAAGATTTAGCACCACAATCTTAGAGAAGAATCCTCTAACTGTAAGGTGCAAGAGAAACAGAGTGATTTCCCCAGAAACTCACATGTCTCTTAATCATACCTCTACTGCTCTAACTTATGAGTTCTGTTTACTTTTCCATCCCTCAATCCCTACCTGCTATAAACTGGTTTCATATATATATATATATATATATATATATATATATATATATATATAATTTGTCTCTGTCTCTCTGTCTCTCTCTGTCTTTGTCTCTCTGTCTCTCTGTCTTTCTCTCTGTCTCTCTCTCTCTCTACACACACACACATACACACACACACACACACATACACACACACACACACAGGATTTAGCTTGGTATTTAAATCAAAGCTCAATGGAGCCACAAGGAAATATTTGCCATCACTGCTATATATCTGTCCCAGATCATAAAGTGGGAAGAGTACATGATATTCTCAAGACAGGTTGGTACAGAGAAAATCTTGAATGCAGGCAGTAAAGTGGGGCAGGGGCAGCAAAGAGGCAGCAGGGTGTGGAAGGGTCCCCCCCAGAATGTGATCCTCTAAGCCTGGATCACATGTATACACTCAAAGTGAGGCTTCTCCTCAAGCCCCTGGAGTGAGAATCTCCCACGAGTGGTATCTACATTGATACCCCTAGGAAGCTGTCTCGTACCTTCTTAGAAACACAGGTGGACAAGCATGGAAAGAATAAGAACCACCACGTAAAGAAAGTAATAGAGTTGTGGTTTTACTATGTTTAATGGGTGGCAATTCCCACCTGTTCAAAAGGAAACCAAGCTGATTTTACTTGTGAGATAAATCTTGAGTACATGTGTGGAATTTTCATATTCAACTATTTTACATACATAAAAATCCTTGCTTTTTAATTTCCCACTTAACATTATCCTCTGTGCCCCTCCCTGATTCTGTCTTTCTCCCACGCTAAGCGTTTCTTTGAATTCAGAATGGGCAAGAAAGATGGGATGCTGCCCCAAGCCAGCCCCTCGATACTCACCCTGAGCCCCATGAGATAGTAGAGGACGCTGATGAGGGTCATCGGGAGGATGTAGAAGAGGAAGGAGGTTGCTTGGATGATGAAGTTATACACCCACATTGGCTTGGTGACTGTGCAGGTGGCAGAGCCAGGCACGGAGGACCCGTTGGGAAAGTGCTGGAACTTGATGCCATGGATGCTGGTGTTGGGCAAAGAAAAGACCACAGAAAAGCTCCAGACTAGGCTGAGGATCCTGAGGGCCCGTCGCCGCGTGCTTTCCAACTTGGCTCGGAACGGGTGGACGATGGCTACATAGCGCTCTATGCTAACCGTGGTGACACTGAGAATGGAGGCAAAACACACAGTCTCGAAGAGGGCTGTCTTGAAGTAGCATCCCACTGGTCCAAACAGGAAGGGATAATTGTGCCACATCTCGTAGACCTCCAGAGGCATCCCCAAGAGCAGGACCAGCAGGTCTGAGACGGCCAAACTGAAGAGATAGTAGTTGGTGGGTGTTTTCAAAGTCTGATGTCGGACAATCACCAGGCATACCAGAAGATTTCCCATCACCCCCACCACGAAGATCAGCGCATAGGCCACAGACACCGGAAGGGATAGGTCACTGCGTTTGGGTCCACACAGATGGGCCAAGTACTCCTCTGTGCTGTTTAAGTACTTCATGAGAGGATCGTGGATCCAGGAAGCATTTTCAAGTTTTCCCATTACTGAGCTTTAAATCCACGACCACAGGTATCCCGCTCGTGGGGCTCTGTCCCAAGCTGAGCCAGAAGGACTCTGAAAGCAAAGGCTCCTGAAGGTCTGAGAGAGTGAAAGGATAGCATCAGCCTCTAGGGCTCTCCTCTCACGCTGTTAATGCCTTTTGAGGACCACCCAAGCCCCGCCCCCGGCACGCTGTAGTCCAATGAGTGTGTTAAGCTGCACCGTGGGAGAGCCAGGCAGGTTGGTGTGAGGGCTTTGTGTTTGGGGAGCAAGAGAGGAGGGACCTTCCTGTGATTTGGAAGCAGCCAGAGAGAATCCGCTGCCTGCAGCCACCTGAGGAATGAACATTCCCAGCCTGGCCAGCCTCAGAGTTGTGGCACTCTGGGGAGAAACACAGGAAGGACTGAGGAGCCAGACTGCTGAGCCAGTCTCCAAGGCTCTGATCGCTCTATGTCCTGTTAAGGAGTAGAAGATCAATCGATTTCCCCGATTATATTGTTCCTTTGAGCAATCAGGGCTCTCTGGGAAAAGCATGAGACGTATGATTTGGGGGATCTCAGTGGCTGAAAATCAGCTTTTAGGTTTTAGCTTTGCCTAACAATCTCTCTCAGCAGCTCAGAAAGCAAGTGGGTTTCAGAACCAGATCATTAGAAATTCAGAAAATTGAACTCTCAGAGCTCCCTCCCTCCTCCTCTTTCTGCCTCTCTGCCCCTCTCCTGTCTCTTCCTCTCTATCCCCCTTCTATCTGTCGATTTGTTTGACTCTCTCCCTCTCCCTCCTTTCCCTGTCTCTCTGATTCTGTCTCTCTCCCTTCTCTCCTACTCTTTTACCCCACTGTCTGTCTCTCTGTCTCTGTCTCTCTCTGTCTCTCTGTCTCTCTGTCTGTCTCTCTCTCTGTCTCTTTCTCTGTCTCTCTCTGTCTCTCTCTCTGTCTCTCTCTGTCTCTCTCTCTCTCTCTGTGTGTCTCTGTCTCTCTTTCTTCTCTCCTACTCCTTTACCCCACTGCCTGCCTGCCTGCCTGCCTGTCTGTCTGTCTGTCTCTATCTCTCTCCATATCTCTCTGTGTCTCTCTCTACTATGTTATTCATTTATTTTGTTTTGATCAGTATACATGTCTATGGATTTACTCGATGGCCTGTGGTAAGATAAACCTGTTAGTCATTCTTCTCATTGCTTTTCACAGAACAACCAATGGAAGCAACTTACATGAAGGACCTATGGGTCTGTTGAGATGGCTCAGGACTAAAGAACCTTTCCACAAAGTCTGGCCACTTGAGTTCAATCACTGAGACTCAGAGGTTGAGAGGAAGAGAAGAGAACTCAGAGGAAGAGAACCGATTCCCACAAGTTATCCTCTGACCTCCACACATATGCCATGACACACATTATGCACACATTACACACACACACACACACACACACACACACATGTGAGCAAAAGTGGGTGAGCCAAAACAAAAACAAACAAGTCAGTAGATGCAGTATTTAAAAGTAGAATCAGAAGGGCTTACTGTCACCCACAGTTTAAGGAAGGTTACCGCAGTCATGATGGGGACAGCAACAGGAGCAAAAGGAGCTGGTCACACTGGAGCCACAGTCAGAAAGCAGAGAGATGAATACTGATGCTTAGGTCATATTTTTTCTTTTTTATTCAGTCCTGGACCTCGCTCCATGGGATAGTGCCTTCCACATTCAGGGAAGATCTTCCCTCCCTAGTAAAACCTCTCTGGAATATCCCTCACCTACATAGCCAGAGACTGTCTTGTGGGTGATTCTAAACTCAATCAAGTTGCCTGTGAAGATGAACCCTCACAGTCAATGGCCAGCCAGTGGCCACCTATGCTCCACTGAGCTTATCTTCTACTGTTAGGGTGTCTGAAAATGTATAAGCAAATTAATAAATTATATGTTTCCATATAAAAGCTGATAAATAACTTACAAAAGAAGTCAAAGAAAGCTTATTTCAGCATATGCCTTTGAGACCAAGATCTGAAAAGCTTAGGGAAGGATTTAACCAGTAAATGGTCTTAAGGCAGAAACAAGCTTCAGAATATGGAGCTGACCAGTGATGACAAGGGAGAATTCATGTTAGTGTTGTGCAGCAAGTCCCTCTGAAATTAAACCTCCCATCGTGGATGAAAGCTTTTTAGGATACAGGATGTTCTAAGAGGAGGTAAAACATCCCATGCTTCAAAGAAACTACTTAAGCTAAGAAAATAAACAACGGGAAAGTTTTAGGAAGTTGCTGAAACTGACAAGATTTTCTGGACTCTTCCCTACCCAAGAGTGCATAAGGAACTGTTAAAGTACCATAATTATCTGACGCTTGGGATACGTGAGCATGGAGACTGTGACAGAGAATTTGCCTCTTCCTGACATTCAATAGACTTTGGATCTATTCAAACACAGAGAGATTTCTTAGGAGAGTTTTGAACAGGAATGTCCAGGAGAGAAAGGCTAGGAAGAGACAGGAGTGGCTGACATCACTGTAGCAGTAGTGAGGTAAGAGTTACATTTAGATTTAGAGATAATTTTGCAATAGTGACACGTGGTGTAGCTTGTGAGTCTGAAGAAGGTGGGTGTTGAAGAGATGACTCAATGGCCGAGAGTACTAGCTGTTCTTCCAGAGAACCTGAGTTTCATTTCCAGCACCAACATCATTTAAAATGATGAGGATTTGTTCCCACACTGCCTGCTTAGCAGCCATCAGTGAAGAGAGCCTTCCCTGTGCTGTGATCACTCTCAGGCCCAGACTGAAGTGGTTACCACTACCTTGGATCTTGCTGATTAGATGGGAGAGGGAAGGACAACTCCTAACATATGATCATCACCTCAGAACCAGAACTAGAGCAGGCTTTGAGAACTGGGGGATGACTGAGATGGTCAAGTACTTGCCCTGCAATCATGAAGATATTCAGTGACTAGGACCTAGACAGCCAAGCATGGGCTGGGGGGATGGTTCAGTGGATAAAGCACATGCCTCAGAAAGTGCACCTGAACTCATGTAAAACTTTACAAAATGGCCTGTATTTGTGACCTCAGTGCTCCTAAGGCAAGATGGAAGACAGCAGACTCTTCTGAATCTAATGAACCAGATAGCCTGGCATGAATGTGGCCTAGAGCAAAGAGATCTTGCTACACACAATGTGGAAGGAAAGAACAAATATCTGAGCTTGTCCTATGACTACCCTATGGGTGCTGTTGCTCACACATACCTTGTACACATGTACACATACATACACATAAAGACTTTCAGAGATCTGGGCACAGTGTCCCATGCATATAATCCTAGATCTGGGGAGGGGCAGAGACAGATAGATTCCTGGGACTCACTGGCCAGTCAGTCAAGATAATACCTGGAAATTTCTAGGCCAGCGAGAGACCCAGTTTCCAAAAAAAGTGTAGATGGTGCCTGAGAAATGACAGACAATATTGTCTCCCAGTCCACATTCACACATGTTTATGTACATTCAAATATGCTAACGTGAGCATGCTCATATACACACAAATGCTAGCATGCACTCATGAACATGAGGGAGCAAATAACACAATCCTAAAGTGTTTTGATGTTGACATCATTATTAACAAACTTTAAGGAAAGATAATGGAATTCAAGATGAAAAAAATCTCACTGAGCTGTAAAGATCTTTAAAATTATAAAGGTAAAGAGTGGCAGATGTTAAATTCAGGGTTAAATAAATGTGGTGATTTGAATGAAAATGGTCCCTATAGCTCATATCTTTGATTACTTAGTTCCCAGTTGGTGGAACTGTTTGGGAAGGATTTGGAGGTGTGGCCTTGTTGGAGGAAGCCTGTCGCTGGAAGTGGGCTTTGAGATTTCAAAAGCCTATACCATTCCCAGTTAGCTCTCTCTGCCTCAGGGTTGTTGTCTCAATGTGTAAACTCTCAGCTACTGTTCCAGCACTGTGCTTGCTGTCATGCTCCCCACAATGATAATCATGGACTCATCTTCTGAAACAGTCAGGCCCACATGAACCTGTTCTTCTATAAGTTGTCCTATTTGTGGTGTTTTATCACACTAGTAGAAAAGTAACTAAGATGGGGTGGTACTTCTTAATTTATAGAGCATTACACTAAAGATTGAAAAGTATCAAAAGTTATGACAGGATAGATTCCATCAAACAAGATGGTACTTCCTACCATCAGTGCGAGGGGATGGAATGGAATTGTAGACACCTAGTATGAGTATGGGCTTTGGATTCTGTGTTTGCCTTTTACTGGCTACTAAAAGCATAATGAATACACTTTACTAGGAGTCATGGGTTCCAGGAGAGAACCTATTGATGGTTTTCTAATTGGGGATCTTGTCAAACTTCTTCCTAAATACGTGTGTTTATATCCTTTTATTTGTGCTGCTTTCAACCTTGATCTGAGAAGCTTCTCATTACAGAAGGTGGTGGTAATTAATACAGAGACTCATAACCAAGCAAAGTGCAGAAGAGAAGCAACTGCGAATGTTTAGCTGTACATGGAACATCTATATTCCCTCTATGAGCTCAAGGAACTTCATGGAAGAAGAAATAGAAAGAATGTAAGAACCAGAGGATGGGGAGGAGAGCTGTGAGATGCTGTCTTCTGGACTTGGCATGATGTGCCTATGAATTCACAGCTGCTGTAGTTACCTGTACAAGACCTGTACAAGATGTAGCCTGCTAACATTGCAGCACAGAAAGGGAAGTAGCCTGGATCTCCAGCTCTAGCTGAGGAGCTGTTGGCAGTTGGTGCTGCTGGGGGAAGGGATGTAGATGTCCCATATTTTTCCTTAGGAGTGTGACCACTGGTAGTCTGCTGATGCCCCAATGTGTAAACCCACACCCATGTGCATATAGGCAGCATTAATTGGATTAAAAAAAACTAATTGAATTTTAAAAGTAATTTTAAAAGGAGGACATAGAGTTGGGATGGAGATGCTGTTGGGGAAGTTGGAAGAGAGAAGAGAGCAAAATATACTTACAGTTATTCAATAAAAAAGAAACAAAAGACAGAATTGTATTTAGTTCCCATAAGTCTCAGTTACCCTATTTGCAGAGTAAATAAAATAGCTGCAGTATCTTGCAGGATTGTCATGAGGGTAAGCAGT